CTTCCTTCCTTCCTTCCTTCCTTCCTTCCTTCCTTCCTTCCTTCCTTTTCTTCTTTTCCCTCCCCACTTCATTCTCCTTTCTTCTTCCTTCCCCTCTTTCCTCATTTTTCCTTCCTTGCTCTCTTTCCATCTTTCCTTCTTTTTCTTTGACTTTCTTCTTTCTTCTTTCCTGTCCCTTCTTGCGTGCTAAAATGCAAAATGGGAAACGTTTGTCCATTTGTTTTTAGTTTGTTTTGATAGCCCTTTGCCAGTGAAAATGGATAGCCTCCTGCAGCACTCTGACAGCAAAAACAGAGCTCGGGAGTGGGAGAATTGCACGTCCCCCCATCCCCCATTTTTGGCCTGGATTGCCTCCGGCACCCCTCTGCCAGCAAAAATGGAGCCTGGGGGTTGCATGTGATCCCCCGAGCTCCATTTTCACTAGTAGAGGTACCCTGGACTGGTCCTTTGTTTTTTCCAGGCCGGCCCAATGGGCCAGATCTAAGCACCCTACGGGCCAGATCTGATCTGTGGGCCTTGAGTTTGAGATGGCTGCTCTATATTATGGTAAGGAAAGAAAGGGTTCAGTGCTTTCTTTAAGTCTCCTGCAATGACAAATTAATTAACTCATCAAACTAATCCCAGTGCTTTTTTTAAAAAAAAAACTACTAAGTTAAATACAAAGGTTCTAATTTGGCAATCAGTCATTCAGATATTTTGACAATTACAACTATTACTCAACTAGACAAATGTTATAAGTAAATTATGGAAACAGCATAAGAAAAAATTACCCATTCCCTAAGTAATCACAGAACACAGAAAGCAGAAGATCTGACCGAATACAATGAAATTTGCAAGCTACTCCAGCACAGTGCCCCAAACACCACATCACAATCACACCACAGATTTTTAAAAGTTAAAATAATTATTATAATAATAGTACTAAATCACAAATGCACTGTTTGATTCAAGACAATTACTGCCTTGGAAAAGAAACTGTTTCTCAATCTATTAGTCTTCATTTTAAGGCACCTATAACACCTCCCTGATGGTAACAGATCAAAATATGAATGTCCAGGATGAGAACAGTCTGTGGAGATTTTTAGTGTTCCAGAGAGGAGTCTGGTCTTCGCAATCTCTTCCAAAGAAGAAAGAGAGCAAGCAACCTATGATTTTTTGTGCTGTGTTTATAACTTTCTGGAGCACTGCAGAGAGTTATGTGTTCCTCTTCTTATCCACTGCAGAGCATCCAGCATACCACACCATTACACAGTAAATGCTCTTGATGCTAGACCAGTAGAAAGTAACTGGCAACTTCTCACCCAAACCACTCTTTTTCAGCAACCTTAGAAAGTGCAGACACTGTTGGGCCTTCTTTGCAGTGATCATAGTATGGACCAACCAAGTAAGGTTGTTGGAAATATGAGTTCCTAGAAATTTAAAATTATGAACTCTTTCCACACAGTCTCCATTGATATATAGTGGGAGCGGCTCTGCTTTGCATCTTCTGGAGTCTATAATCAATTCTTTGGTCTTTTTGATGTTCAGGGTGAGGTTATGACTCTTATACCACAAGGCCAATTTGAGAACCTCTGACCTATAGGCCGTCACGTCTCCTCCTGATATGAGTCCCACCAATGTGGTGTCATTCTATTATAGAATTAGTGGGACAAGAGGGAGTGCAGTTGTAGGTGTACAAAAGGTGCATACAAAAATTTTGCTACATTGTATTTCATGTGAGTCTATACATAATAAAATCTTTCTGCATATTTACCTACTTTATGTGCAGTTGTTTACAATTTCAGAATAAGAAACCCATGAACATGGCAAGTGCAGAAATTTAGATAAATTAGTCTTTCGGTATATATTATCTATATTGTTTTAACTTTTACTTCTGAATTTTTATATGTATACTGGTATTTCACAAATTAAGCACTGCATTCTATCTTTTTGACCCACTGAATTATTTTATTTTCTTTGTTTAGAAGACTGAATCACATCAATTCAGCTTTTCAGTACAAAAGGGCTCATATCTCCACAAGTACAAGAACCATTCTATCAGATTCTTGGAATTTGATTTCAGGTTGGTCTGAATTGTACTCTTTCAATTTTGCACTTTGAGCACAGCACTGCAATCATATTAAATGCTTGAAATTAGTAAAGTAAATGTGAAATATGCAGATTTGGCTATGCTTATCTGATGAAAAAGACAATTGTAGAAAAAAAAGATAATATTGATTAGTTTGAATTTGAGCCATTAAAATAAGCAATTGTGAAGATTATCTTTTTTTTAAAATATATAGTTTTGATTGAAGCAACCAGAATATTCTAAATACCCAGAAGTCCTTCTGCTTTTTGAATAAGTTATAACATTTTGCAAAAAAAATTGACAATTATAGAGAATTTTTGCCAATAACTACCACAGGGATGTCATGTAAAATAATGGGTGTTTTTTTTTTATAAAGGAACGGTTCAATCTAATTTGTCTTTCACCTAATTATTTTTCAATCCCAATAGTGACTGCTGGCTTTCATCCCATTTCATGGCTCTGTTAAGTTCAGGGTGATTACAATTGGCCATTATTAAAAATAAATAAATAATCAGTTGTTCCATAGAACAGACCTGCATGCGGTTCATGGCTTCCCGAATTTGGTCAAGGTGATGGGCAGAACTAAGAGCTTCAAGACGAATATCTGTAAGTTTGAGCTCTTTCTCCCTGAGCTCATTTTTTAGCTGCAGAATTATTTCTGCCTCTGCTTCTGTGCATTCACAGATCCTAAAAAAAACAGGAGAAGGTAGGGAGGCAGAAAATTAAAGGAAGGCTCTCTTCTCACGGAGTGTATTATTATAGTATATCCAAGAATCAGAAAAGGTTTCTGCTGCTGATTCCTAGGAGGAGGAGGGAGAATTTCATCAAAGCAATATGAATCAATTTAATTGAAAAAAAGTGAAAGGGGGAAACAGTATCTAGGTAAAGTTGTAATGTTGTTTCTACAACTTTTCTATTTATTTTCTTTTATAAGAACAATGATGTTTTATACTCCAAATTCAATAGGACTGAATTTTACAAATCATTCCTATACTAAATAGTACCTCTGCTTTCATTAAAAGTAAACAATTTTCAAAATAGTACAGTTTAAAAATTCATTGCTACTATTAAACTATTACTTTTCTCTTTTGATTTTTTCAGAAGATTTCTCTTTCAGTCCAACTCATGTATAATGAGATTACATGAATACTTATGTTAAGTATCAGTATATGTGAACTGACTTGATTTCTTTTTTTGTGGTGTTTAAAATGTCTATGCTATGACTGTGGAATTTATTCTGTAACTATTTCAAAAATTCTAAATATTCAAAGTTTTCCATGAGTTGCACCGAGTATATTCTGTTTGGAAAACAAGAAACCTTTGTGCATGGCATAACAGACAGCAGAAAATACATATACATGACAACATGCTTCTGTTTCTGACACCAGGTAAGATGAAATTGAGAACATTTAAACTTTAACAATGAAGTAAAATTGAAAATGCAATTTTTAATTCTTTCCTTTGGAGCATAAAAAAAAAACATGTCCTTTCTTCTCATTACTAAACTGATGTACCATAGTAACCACACCATTGTTCACATAATACTCTTTTAGTTTTAGTTTTTTCTTCAACATATAACCAATATACTGTATTTTCAAAGCATGCCTGCAAAGACATTTAGGGAAAAAATAGATAACCTCCATCTAGTTCTTGGATAAATAACTCCAAGCCCCTTGTACCAATTTACCGGGATCTATGCTTGTAGATCACGGGACCATTTTGCCTTTTCTTTGGAGCCCAGAATAGAGATGACCTGCATATACACGCATTAGACAGACAGATGCAGACAGACAGAAAGTAAAGGAAATGGTTTAGAAGATAAGAAACCAAGAAAGAAACAGAATAAAAATGCAGTAGAATGAAAAAGTAAAAGCTTTAAGAGGGAATGATAACTAATTATGAAGATTATGTCACAATTTAAACAACTCTTGTTTATGCCTTTCATTAATTATCATGTTGAATGTGGGAACAACATAAACCACAATGATCAAAACCAAAACCTACAAGTACAAGACTTAAGGTACAATTTTAAGGTTTTACAGTATTCAGTGTGATTTTTATCAGCATGCTTTGGAGTGCAATCATTACATGCAAGATTGCTATTTTATGCCACACATTTAAGGCAGGTTTAATCTACCATTTTAAGAGAAACTGCTTTCAGCCTATCTTTTCTGGTAGGCTGATTTGCAATGTGCAAAAAGATTATTTCAGCAGGTAAAAATATTCAGATATTTGATATCTGCCTCTGCCCAATTGGTAATTTGAAATGCTGCACCTCAACAAATAGATGTATCATGAGGAATCACAATTGCACTATTATGGTACATAACTGTGAACCAGAAAGAAAGAAAGTCCCTTTTAACGCATCACTGCAGTTTAATATATATGTTGAAATGGGTAGCATTTCTTGATCCGCAACCAGCAGAATATTTTGCAGAGCGGCAAGTGGCATGTTTCATGTCAGCATGATTGTAACTGTAACTCTACAAACTTCCATCTATTTAGGAATTGATCTATTTGGCAGAAGATTCTGCAAAATGATTTAAGAGTGAAGGATATTACAACAGATTTAGCCTACCTTAGTATTCCAGTCAGAGCTATGTAAATGCCAATGCTTCAGGATTTACATTTTAAGCTGTTTTCTCCGATTCGTCTATGTTAATGAATATTTAGCTACTTGCTTCTTGGTTACAGAAGGCAGCTGAGATATGCTGTCATAATGATCCTTATTAGTTTGGGAACAGGTGGCCCATGCTACACCAGTTTCATTATTAGCAGCAATCATCAAAGTTATTGTATTCATGGTCAAAGAGTTTCTGGGATTGAACAAAAGGAGGCATGTGTCTTGTGATTCGAGAAACTGGCAGGATATTATGAGAAATTATTTTTATACAATTCATTTTAATTTGGCAATTCACTATTAAGCAGGAGTGGCTCCTTCTCTCCTACCCTGACTGGATTTCTCTTGCATTCATGTACGTTCATGAGTATGTGTTTTAGCAGACTTACTTTGCTTGGGTTTGAGAAAACCAAGGAGAATTATTGTTTAGAGAAATTTTGCTCATTAATGGAAAATGGTGTCTATAGAAAATGTAGAGGAGTGATCTAATATATACAGATTATTCTTCCTATAGATTTTTAGCTTCACATTTAGCCATGTGAGTAAATCTAGCTGTTAGACATTATTTAAGGCAGAAAAGAAAAAATAACAAACAACAATAGCTGAAAATTTGGATAAGAAAGGAATGGTGTTTTTTTTAAAGAAAGCATAGCAAAGTGGCAGCTAATTTTAAAAAGCAACAATTTAATATGAAATGTAAGAATACCAGAAGGGTTGAAGGATACTTTAACTATTTTAGCATCCTGTGGTCACCTGACTGTGGTCACCTTTTCTTAGCTGGTTTCTCATAAGCAAAGGCAATGCATAAGCCAGCAGTAAAATTTCAAGTCATGTGATGTCTCACTTAAAAATAATGGATAAGTCATCTAACAACTGCATGTACGTCAGGTGCAGTTAAATGATCTTTAGTTACTTAGCAACAGAATTGCTGATTCCAATTATAGTCATTAAGCAAGGACTATTTATAAAGAATTAAAATGGCTTGAATCTTAAAAAGGAGACAATGCTTCTTGGTAACTCATGACCATATTTCAGAAATAATAGTGACATTTTCCAAAACTATCCCATAAAAAAATGACACTTTCACAAATAAACATTTCTCAAAGAATAAACATACAGTGAAGTTGATTGGGATGGCCTGATTGAAGTAGATCCACAGTCACCAGAGCCATGAGGTAATTTGGGTGAGGATGGAACAGATGAATCTGTGACTTCTTCTATGTCAGAATGAGAGGAAGGGGTTTTTGATGACTTCTTCTTCCCAAAAGCTTGTTTGAATGAACTCCTTAGCTAGGAGAAAAGAAAGGAACATCAATATCTTTGACAATTTAGTTCTCATATTTGAGAGAGTTCTTGTATGAGAAGTTAGTTTGCAGAGGCCAATCTAGCTACTACCTGAGGTAAGTGTATAGAGAAAGCAGGACATTAACATGTGCAACACAGTATCTTTAGAAACATGGCAGAGTGCTTTTTAAAATTAATTCAGGACTGTGTTATAGGAAATAAGCACAATTGAACTTTATTGATAAACAGATACTCATTTAAAACCCCACACCTATTGTGAAACACCTTCTCTCTGGCATTCACTTTAAGATGATCAGTCTTAAATAAGTACTTTTTTAAAAAAAAAGTTACTGGCTTATAAATACACTGAATTCCAATCAATATGATATTGTGCATTATTTGAGGGAAGAGACATTTTGTCCCAGAAATATTAGACCTTATAACTTCCACAGTAACACTGATCAGAAATAAACATATTGAAGCTGCAGTATTTGCTTTTCCACTGACAAAGAAGCTGAAAGGGTTGGGAAACAGAAAGCATTTGCTTAAGTTTTTTTAAAGAAGCAAGTTCATGTATGCAAGCATGGCCTTCATTATCTAAAGCACTTATCCATTATTGAAAGGTTCAGAATAGCCAAACAGCCATTTATTTCAATATTTGAGATGGCTAGGTCTCCAATAAGACCTAATAATAGCTAATAGCTAATAAACACTATATATTTTATGTCTGAGCTGTCAAAGACTTCTTATGAGCAAGCAGATTGCTTAAACCAAGGGGAAATATGGTTTCCAAGTAGCTGTTTTATTACCTTCAGCTAAATTTTGGAATATTTTCTTTCATAAGAATCAGTTCAAAAGTAGAACTGAATATACACGTCTGTTTTATTTGCTAGAACTTCAGTTTATTTGAAGAATATATAGATTCCCCTCATCATAATTTTTGGTTTCTGTTGGTAAAAACATCATTTTGTATATGTTTTCTTATATACACCCTGTATATGATTTTCACTATTACCTGCATTTTTTGTAATAATATCTGCTAGTATCCACCTTTTCATATACAATTTTCTCTAATATATGTATTTTGGCAGATATTTTCTTTGAAGAACTGCATTACGCTATTTGGAGACGGGCCAAAATAGAGGGAAAATACTGCATTCCAGTTGGCATGTTATTTTGGAAAGCACAGATTGGTTGGTATGAATTTGAATCAACTTTCTCTTCCATCCCTGTTCAAGAACTGGGAGGCTAAGAGCTGATTAACCATCATCCAGGATTTCTTTGCACCATTTAATGTTTTCTAATGAGAAAGAAATGGATTTTGGCGACACTTCCCCTTTCCAGATTTTAAAGTTGGAGGTAAAATGAAGAGAAACATTAAGGAGACATAAAGGATAATATTTCAGAAGGGTACAAAAGCCTAATGCCAAAATGAATAGCAATCATGCCAAGATAGAATTCTTTGAGATGCATGCCAAATTTTCCAGGATTTTATATTCACCTCACTTCCTCTAGAGTTCACCTTGCAGAAACATGAAAGAGTGTGCAATTACAAATCAAGGGAATGACGTTGGAATCAGTATTTTTAAAATATTACCTGTGTAATAAACATATTTTAACAATAAAAAGTATTTTCCTGCTTTTATGTCAGTAAATTTTGAGTTCTTTATGTATGTGTCTCAATTCAAGACCTTTATCTTTATTTATGTTTTCAAAATATTTACTACATTTCTTTCATGGAACAATAAACTATCAAAGATGTCTACAGAATGTGATTAAAAAAATAGATAGCATTGGCAAAATTGTGATAAAGGTTATGCCTACTTTTAATGTATGACAAACATTAAAAAAAAACAATACAAACTTCAATTGTACTTTTATGGCTGCTATCTTGACTTTTTACCAAATTTCAGGGATCGTCCTATAAATTACTTTGGACAATTAATATGTTGTATATAGTAAACTGAAATTTAGTAACTTGTGAAGTCTGTTATTACATAGGTATATTTATTTACATCAACAATATTATGTGATATTGATACATAAATAATACAGCAAGATGCAAAAAAAATTACACCTATGTAGTATATCAGCATTATATCAGTATCAGTAACTATACTTATGAAGGGTATTAAAACAGTGATTTACATATTTCATTCATTATATTATTTATGAAACAAAGAATTATATAAAAAGACAGTCAGTCAGTTTTATTTAATAGAGTACTTACCCAATTTTTCTTTTTCTTTTTTTTAGAATCAGCATCATTACTGCTACCCATGCTTGAATGGCTTGTACCACTATTGATGCTGGCAACACTTTCAGATGAATGTTGTCGCCTTATTCGCAAATCTATAATATAAAGAGAAAGGAAATAGTGCGGACATATCCTTTTGCCCAACGTAACTCCTTTTTCTAGTGTTTCAATTATTATCTTCAACTCTCCCACATCCTTTATCCAGTCTATAATTGTGACTGTTTAAGGAATGATATAAAGCATTTAATATATCTCTTTATTATTCTTGCTTGTTTTTTTCTAAATCCAGAACAGAGTTTAAATTAATGGAACTATGCTTTCTTTAGTTCTGTTCTCCTTTGAAATGTCATTTTCTTCTTCTGCTCATGTCTATTGACACATCATGTAGAATGACTTACAGATTACAGAAAAAAAAATTAATGAAAATTGTTCTCCTACAGAACAAATAACAATGAAGTTCAAGTCACTGTGCATAATTCAGCCAATGTTTTAAATTGAAGCAGATATATATTTCACATTCTTCCTGAGATAAACGTGGTTTAAAAGGGCTTGAAGATAGGACAAATCCTAAAGGAAGCCAAAAGGTTTATCTAATAACTAAGAAAATCATTCTAAAAACCCTTATATTACCTGCTATAGATGGTTAAAATTTGAGGGACATGGATTTTACAGTAGCCTCATTGGACCTATAGACATCTAGAAATGGAACAAAAGTGAGTAAAGAACTAGAGATCTGATGGTTCTAAAATTATTTGGTTGCCTCTTAAAGGCAGCCTGATCATGTTTATGCAAGTCTGTTGTTGGCATCGTTTACACTATCTTCAATCCTATTTAATATAAGTGGATAGAAAATTGGAAAATTCAGAACTGCCATTCCATTCTACATTGTTGGCTTGAGCTACAAGAGATTCTAGTACGAATGTGCTATTTGTCAACCAGAAGTGCTTAGTGGTTCCTCAGAAGAAGGAAACTCTTTGGAAATCAGTAACTTTTGAAGTTGAACTTTTTAAGATATGGAAACATTGAAAACATACATTTTCATATGGAAGGTTCTACAAATGTGGTACAAAACTCATTCTTTTGAAAAACAGAAAGCCAATAATGGGCTACTATTAGAGCCCTTATAAGTGAGAGCGAATACCATACCTCTCTGAGTGTGGTCAGGGCCATTCAGAGCTCCTTGAATAGCAGCCTGTGCAGCTGAGTTCTGTGCTTTCAGCATTTCAATGGTTTCCCGTAATTCTATGAGTTCTGATTCCTTTGGAAACAGGAGGGAAAGGCTCAAAATGTGTCAGAGTAATTAGGTTTATCCTCTGGGGTAAAAACACACAAAATGGAATGGAAATAAGGTGTAGGTGAAAAATGCAAGTGAAACTAAGGAGAAAATTAGGTTTCATGTATGCTTCTCATCTTAGCTAATCAAATGTAAAGTCCTTATTGAAAGGTATTCATCTCTACAACTGCTGCAAGTAACAAGTTTTAGAGAGGAAATATAAACATTTGTAAAGACATGCACAATATTTCACAATTAATATGGTTAGAAAATGTAGTATGAAATTATTTAGTAAGTGTAATCTATAGTTGAAACTATACCTGCTTCTTCCATTAAAATTTCCAGCTCTCATTTTATATACTGAAACTTAAATCCTTTAAAACATTTATTGCTAGTCAAATCAAGAAAGGGTTTTTTAATGTGCATATTAGGATATTTAGAAAAAGCTTATCAAGGTCAATATCAGTATAGTAAAATCGTCATTCAAACCACCTTTGGGGAGTCTCCTAGTGCCATTCAATTAAATCTAAAATTACATGATTTGTTTACATTATTTGTGCCATTCTATAGTTGAGTCATTTGTCACTGATATCACTATTACTCAGCCCCAGCAATATATATGTAGATGTCAGCTCCCAGAATATCCTCATCCCTCATTTTTCATTCATTTTCATATTTAAGGTTTCAAACATTTTATTTTCCACGTATCCAAAATGCATCCATTCATTTTTTCCAGAATTCTGAATGTAAAATCTATCAAGTAAATTGTGATGAACACAAGAAAAAAATGTTTTTTTCCTGTTGTATATTTTTTTTCTTTTTGGATAAAGCATACATTTTTACAAAGTTGCTATCACTTTAAATGGAAGACTCACCTTTGTTTTGTTTTTTAGTACTGAATAACCTCTCATTTAGGGCAATTTTAAACTACTGACATAAAATATAGCTTATTTTCTTTCCAGTTTCACTGCTCTCTCTTTTTCTCACACTGTAAATCTTTGGAAATTTTATGTAACATTCTAAATTTTACACACACACACACACACACACACACAAATGTAAAGGGAAATGTTTTGATTCACTTAATTTATCATTCATTCTTAAAACAAATTTGTATTCCTATAAATCAGGGGTGTCAAACTGGCAGCCTACATGCACAGGCCATGCCTGCCCTGATCTGCAAATAGGAAAATCATCATAAAATGTCATGTGACGGCAATGTGACACCACGAGTTTGACACCCATGCTATAAATACTTAAAATGGGACTGATATTTCTTTTTTCTTTCTTTTTTTCTTTCTTTTTTCAATGGCAGAGCAGAGGCAAATCTATAAAAATACTATGTGGCTAGAAAAACCTATTGGAAACCAGACAAAATCTTTTATGTGTTCCTTGGAAAATAGTTTAGTTTAGAGTACTGCAATGTCAAGAACTAGCCACCCAATGTGATGCAACACCAAAATTATATCCTAAATTTACATCTCAACTATTATGCTAAACATACTTAACAGGGAAGTCAAGCAAATCTATTTGTCCTATCCCCCTCAAGACAACATTGACTGAAAGGCTAAAAATATGAAACATTGTCAACTAATATTTAGTATTCTGATAATGTTCTCAAGTTACTCCTGTTGCTTTACAACCAGCTTTTGTTGTTAAATTTTTAATACACATTAAATCCAGAGTCACAAATATTTTAATTAAAACCTGAAAATGGAAGTTTTTATGTTCCCACTTCTTTCTGATACAGCTTGCTAACTGTAATTATGAATAGTGTGATTCTTACAGAGTACCTTATTGTAAAGATTTGATAGCATGGGTCATGAAAGAAAGATGCACCTAGTTGTTTATTCCTGTACTCCACTGTCAATGCAAACTCTAATAAAGTGCCATTGGATTAAGTTAGATTCTCCACATCTGTTGGTTCAAACATACCTTTTGTTCAGCTGTCATTGTTAGGCTTTGTAACCGGCCTGTCATATTTCCCAAACTTTTTTCAAATGCGGCTACAAGATGGGCCTGTGATAAAGGAGGAAACATTCAAATGTGATCAGGATTAAAAAGCATTCAGTAAAGTCCAGAAAAGATGCTTGAATGTATTTTTGCCATCTCATTATTTTCAACAATGCTTCTACTTACAGTAATTTCTTCAATCATACCCTTACCCGCTCAAAACTATATATTTTAAATTTAATGTTACATGTATGTATGTATCAAATGTATGGAAATATTTCCATAGTAGATTACTGTTTTTTGCTTATAACAATACCAAAATTTTTCAATGAAAGGTTTAAAGAAGATCTACAGTAAATGATATGGTTTGCTAAACAAGCTGCATGTATTTCCATGTTGCCTTGAGGCTAAAATAAACATGGTGAAAATACCGATGGAAATCACAGTGAGTGGGGCGAGGTGAAATTTCCCCCATTTGTTTTGGAAAGCATCAAAATAAAAATTTGGGATTTCCTGCATTTATACAGAATACTTTCAGCAAGGTTCAATTCCTTGTTTCTTCAGGTGTCCTAGAGCAGGAGTCTCCAAAGCCCGGGCTGTGGCTATCAGGCCCTGGCCTATTTGGAACAGGGCTGTGTGAGAGGAGGGCAGGCAGGCACACAGTTCGACTCGTGTAAGCAACAGGCTGCCATGCATGTGCATATGCGTGCAGCTCAACTTGCAATCAAGCTGCATGCATATGTGAGCCAGCCTGCCACTCGCATGAGTCAAGTTGCATACATGTACATGCATGCCGGCCCACCACTTGTGAACAAATATTTATTCATAAACTTAAATATTATAAAATATTTTAAATAAAAGCAACCAGTAATCATTCTGCTCCCAGAGATTTTCACTGACCTAAAACTATAAAGTAATTTTTTTTTACATGGTGTTCTGTTCATTACAAAAAAAAATAGAAACATTTTAACTTATTTTTATGCATTCTTGGATGTTAGTGTTTTAATGATGCCACTTTCTTTTTTATTTTGTTTTGTTGATGCTTCTGCTTTTGTGCAGCTGGTACTTAAATACACTTTCATGATTTATAAGCAGAATTTATTAGTGCACTCAAGTTGGAAGAACTCTCTTGACATTTGTTTGTGATGTAACACATAGCTCATTTAAAACTCAGAATATCATCTCTAATACTCCCCCCCTCAAAGTGGCAATTGCAGCAATCTTTCTCACAGATTTACAGTGTATATACATGCAGAATAAAACTATATCAACATTATTATATTTATATTATAAATAACTTACATTTGCTGACAGTTGTGATGTTAGCGTGGCCACTTTTTCCTGAGATGCAACCAGTTCCCGTCGTAATTTATGAATTTGCTAGGTATGAGGAAAAATACAAAGAGTTCTAAAATATGACATTTTATTCACTTGCTTTAACTAAACACCATTTAATAATCTAGAACATAAAATATAACTGTATTTTTTGCTCCCAGTTGTGTGTTTGAATTGTATATAAATATTTCATCAAAGAATACAGAGATTACATTGGATAAAAGACTTCTTTACTCCAGTATCATAGAAAACAAAATATAGACAACTATATTACATAACCAAATGCTTCCTGGAATAGACAGCCATCTTACTTCCACCTTGGAAATAATGTGAGCAGTAATATTTTCCCACTTTTCCCCAATAATTGATATTCATACTTATGCTGGATATTATGGTGGAAGAATACTATCCTGCATTCTACCATGCTATCATGCTTGCATTCTATCCATAGCTATCATGACTAAATTGTACTTTGTGACAGCTTATCAGTCGCAAAATTGTTTAACTTCTTTTAAAGCTATGTAATCTGTTGCCCATTCCACATTTGTGCAAATAAATTCCATTGTTTTGATATTCATAAAATGAACAATATGCATATCATGGTTTAATACACAAATATATAAACATATATTTTAAGAATTAAGAAGTATTTTTTCAGACGTTAGTGAATGCTGAATTATACCCCAAAACAAAATGTTAGTTTTAAACTTGTGAAAAATAGATTTAATGATTTATATACTTGGTGAAATACCCCAAAATAATTCCCTCAAAAATCACAGTTATTCTTCAACAAACGTACAATATTTGATTAAGAAAAATGTACTCTAAAATATACTAAAATATCATTTTAAAATAGATTCAATACAATGGTGATTGGTCTGGGCAGATGACAAGATAATTAAGAAATTGCTGTAATTAATATCCTTATTGATAATCTACATAATGCTGTTGTAATATATTTATTACTGTACATAACCAGTAAATAAACAGATAAATGTACCATCAAAATATAGTACAATGTTGTAAACATTATTTGAACATTATTTAAACATCCAGTATGTATTTGAAACTGATGTGATTAGGCTATGATACCCAAGAAAATATTGTGGTAAATATTGAGATCTTTATGAACATATAATAAGAAAATATCATAGAGAAGACTACTGTACAACCAGAATGCCACTATTAAAATGGACTTGTCTAAAGGCTCAGGTATTCAAATCTTTGAAAAAATGTCTTAGGTAGGAGAACATCTCAAAGCTAGGTTCCTAAGTATAAGATAAAATGCCACACAACCACAACTATTTTAATTTACTGATTATTATATAGTAAGTATATTCATATTTACCTCTGAATGTGCCTTTTCTTCAGCCTAGAGGGGTGATAAAATTTATCAACATTTTAATTTTTTTTTCTAAATTATTTGGGCAAAGATTACATTAGCAAAGCTTTAATACTGTATGGTTCCTTTTTCTGACACATTCTCTTTTACTATTTTCACTCTTCAAGTCACACACATCTGAAATCTATATGATTATCAACAAAGGAAAAAAAATCAAAACAATAGACTTTTTGCTTAGCTAAAAATTAATTCCAGGTATATTGGTAGGTAAGCATTAGAATGAGAACATCAATTGTAAATATTTCTGAGTATTTTAATAACTTGGAATATTATCAAAGTTTTGGATTATTGGCTGCAATTCAATTAATATTCATTTGTAAACAAATCTAAACAAATGTAATATACTTATTCTGAATAAAGGTTTGAAGATATCAGTATAATATGCTTTTAAAGCCTTCCATGCTACCATAAACATAAATGTTTGAATATTATGTTGGATAATAATGTTGGTTTAAAAAACCTGCCAAAATAATGCTTCAGAGAAATAGAAATCTAATCTCCATTACAAACATTACAATATTATTCTTAAAGCTATAGTTATGGCAGTTGAAATTGTGTCCCCCGCTTTAGTGAATCTTTACATAGAATCACAAACAGTAGAGATGTGCAAAATCATTTAACCTCAAAAGCCATTTTGAGTATGATTCAATAAAACAAAACACTTACATTCTGAGAATTTTATATCTAGTAGAAAACAAAACAGAGTGAAGCATGAAACAAAATTGGGCAGATTCAAATGTTTCCGTGTTGGGTATTCCAGCTATTTTGAATTTTGCAGTTGGACTAATATTTTATGGCTTGTAACTGGGTTGCTTTTTTCCCCAAGTCTTTCCCATCTAAGCCATTCATATCCCTGCTGTTATCAGTTAAGACTGGATCAGTTAATTCTGGAACAAGCAGGAAAGCACTCCTTCTTACATGTTGTTTAAGTTATGATGCTATTGAAAGACTCAAGGATATTTTATGAACTTTAAATTATAATATTTAAAGTAAATGAAGAATAAAGGGGGGAAAAGCTTTTGTCAAAATTTATATTACCCAGAAGACAATGATATATTGAATAAAGGAAGGTGACTGATTATTACCTAATGTACTATTGAAAGATTGAAAGAAAAAAAATCATCCTTTACCTCTTATGATGATAGTCTGTACTATGAAACATATCCTTGGCTATAATAGCATAGAATTAGGGCACTTTAAAAACTTATCTGAAAGGAATAGAAGGCTACCAAATAATATGACTTTGGTTGCCACAATTTTAAAAAGATGTTGAGACTCTAGAAAAGAGTACAGAGAGAACAGCAACAAAAATAGTTAGGGGACTGGAAGTTAAAACATATACAGCATGGTTTCTGGAACTGGATATGTCTAGTTTGATGAAAAGAAGGATTATGGTGACATGATAGCAGTGTTCCAATATCTCAGGGGTTGTCACAAAGAAGAGGAAGTCAACCCATTCTCCAAAGCACCTGAAGGCATGACAAGAAGCAAGACGTAATGGGTGGCAACTAATCAAGAGAAGCAACCTAGAACTAAGAAGAAATTACCTGGAACAATTAATCCATGGAATGACTTGCCTCCAGAAATGGGGATGCTCCAAAACTGGAAATTTTTAAGAAGAGATTGGGCAACCATTTGTCTGAAATGTTATAGGGTTTCTTGCCTGATCAGGTCATTAAACTAGAAGATGCCTAAAGTCCTGTCCAAGTCTGTTATTCTGTATTCTGTGTATCATAGAATATTTTTGTACAATTTAAAATTAAATCTTTTGCATGACATTTCCATTTGATCACTACTTCTTCATTAGGAACTGCTCAATTGAATGAGCTTTATCCAGAGCAGCAGGGGGTATTGCTGATCAATGATTATGTCCTTCAAGAACAAATCCTGCTGAAGATTTTAAAGCCAAGCGAATACCATGCCCTTAACAAAGAGTACTTCAAATTCCATTATCACAGCTAGCTCCTCAAATATGATGAAGAAGTCTTGTCAAGTAGCTGAAAATTGAGAGAGGAGAGAGTCAAGTTATTGAAATATCAGAACAGTTGGTCTTGACTGATTAATCTGATATGATGATATATGTCTATTATTACATTTATTTATTTATTATTTGATTAGACTGCATGGCTATGTTGGCTGAATGCTGATAACTTTCGTAATGGTGTCAATTAATGCTATTATTAATTATATGATGTAAGTATAGATTGTGAGCTTCTAAACTTTTCAATTTATCCAAGTTATTATGAAAGAGCTTTTCATATTGTCCAAAGTAAACAGCCCAATAATATATTGTATACTGCCAAACCAAAGAAGAGATGACAGCTGTATTCTCAACTAAAAGAGATTTCCTTCTAGACCCCCATGTAAAACGGGCAAGAAAAAAGTGCAAAACAAACTATCAAAAACAAACCTTACATATTGATTATTCTGAACAGATCATGTACTTCATTGAATTATTTTGTAATGTTCTTCTTACATTTTCTGCATATTAATTTTAAAAAGTTCTTGAATTCTTGTGAGCTTGCTTCACTAATTTCAACCAGGTCTTCTGAGAAAAAAAAACCTGATAATCATTTCAGTGTATATTAAATTGGGAAATTGTTTTCTCCTTCAAGTTTGTATTTTCTTTTTATTTATTTTTAATATATATAATAGTCCAGGATCTATGATAATTGGTTTAACAATTTCAAAACATAATATTAAGAAATCTATATATAAATCAGGAAGCCATAATATGGAAAGAATATGATGAAATAGACTTTGCCACCTAGGATGGGAAAGGAGTGAGACTAGGCTGTATATTCAATCAATATATTATGAAATATTAAGGGAAGATGGATTGGAAGAAGATGAATTGGGTTTTAAAGCTGCATGAAGAACAATAATCTGTATTATACTGATGATATTATTCTAATAACTGAAAGTGCAGAACTGTAGTAGCACAGTGGTTAAATGCAATATTGTAGATTAATTCTGCCAACTGCCAGCAATTCAATTCCCACCAGCTCAAGGTTGACTCAGACTTCCATCCTTTGAGGTCGGTAAAATGAACATCCAGATTATTGGGGGCAATATGCTGACTCAGTTTACAGAGTCAGAGAGCTGTATGAAGTGGTATATTGTTATTGCTATCTGCAAGTTAACAACAGTCAAGGACACAGTAAAAAAAGACCTAAAATTAAATATAGCTAAGACTAAATTAATAACATTACAATAATCTGCCCAAAATTGATAATTAATGATATATTCATTACTTAATAGATGGTGGTAGACAGTATCTACTTTTTAGGATCAACTATTGATAGTAGAGGAGGAATCAAACAAGAAATATCCTTCTAATTAGCACTTGGAGTATCTATGAAGGCCTTGAAAAGGTATTCAGATGTCTTAATATGTCTATACCTAAAAAATCAGAATAGTGCAAGCCATGGTATTGCTTGAAACATTTTATAGAAGTGAAAGTTGGACTGGAAAAACAGGATAAAAAGTATATTGATGATGTTAAACTTTGTTATTGGAGAAGATTCTTGAGAATACAATGGACAGCTAAAAAACAAATTAACCCAGAGTTTTCACTCTAAATACAAATGACCAGACTCAAATTATCCTACTTCAGACACATTATTTGAAGATCTAGTGCACCAGAGAATGTTGTAATGCAGGAATATAATAAAAGGGTGACCAGCAGAAGGTTGATGGATTTAGTTACAGTAGAAATGAATAAGCCATTGGAAGGTTAGATTATAAAAAAAATTTATCATGAAGACAATCTATAGTTATGGGTGCCAGGAGTTGACATTGGTGCAATAACAATTTTGGAAACTGCCTCTACAGTTTATTGGAATTAGTATTTGATATTAAACCCTATTAATATCTAGATATTTCAAGCATAATATTTTGCATTTAGAACCATCAATTATCAGACATATACTGCTAAATAATGATATTTTCCAACTAAATAATGTTAAAATTCCAGTTTATTACATTTTGAAACATGAGAGCCAGTTTGGTAATTGAGGCAGCAGGATAGAAATTGGAAGAATATACATTCTAGTCCTGCCTTGGACACAAAGCCAACTGGGTGTCCAGTCACTTTCTCTCAGCCTGAGAGAAAGACTTTCCAAAAAACCTTTCCAAAAAAACTGCAGGGATTCTTAGAATAGGACACAACTGAACAAAAGAAAAAAATAAATATTCCAAAATAAGCATAAGGACTTTTTTTAAAACTACAACTAAAATATGTTAACTATTTTGTAAATATTGTGACATTCAACTTTTAGAATGTGATTCCTAAACTACATTAAACATTCTTACCCTGAAAGCCTTATTATAAAATCATTATTACATGAGAAACTCCTAGAAGAATTTGTTTGATGGCCTGAATACATGGGTAAAAGACAATAAAATTATAACTTGCATTTAGAAAAAGTAATTTTATCCATATTATCTCAAAATTCATAGACAAATGGACTTACACTATATATGTTTCTAACAATTTTGTAACCTTATGGAGTCAATAACCATATTTTTCAAAAATTGGGCATCCAAAGCATCACACAAGTAACTTTAATATGCAAGGAAGGCTTGCATGAACAAAAGCATCTTTTCTCCAATGACTGGAACCCAAGTTACATTAAAATGTACATTCACATTGGATTGCAACCAAGCATTTAATTTACAGTAGGTAGTAAACTTTAATCTTGAAATACTCAAATTTTAAAGAATGAAGTTTATAATGAAATTTTAGTGAGCTGTCATAAGTTTATATTGCTTGATACATATAAACTCAAAACAAACTTCCTCCATAAGAAAAAAATGTATGACTAATAATTAAAAATCCCTACAACCTGACTCACCGTAAATCATTTTATACCAGGTTTGAAAATTGGACTGTCAATGCTGCAATTTCCTGCATTGGGAAAGCTCTTTCAGTACAAGAAAAGCAATCCACTGAATGACCAATTACTGTGCCACTTAATCTTTAAAGTGCACAAAAACAACCCAGAAAGGTACAGCACATCAGATATAAGCAGCAAACCATTTTGAACAATTTGCTATCAAGGTAAGGAAGGAAAACAACAAAAGCCACAAAAGGTTCAAGAAAGCAAGGGCATACTGTTTCTGAAACCACAAAGAAGGTATTACATTCAAACAGCAGTAAGACATTTTTGTTGTTTCTTAACCTATGAGGTGTCAATATGTTTCCCATTACAGATTCTATATAAACGTTTATTATTATTTTTTCTAAAAAAAAGCAATACAATTTTTGGGGGGAAAAGGAAGAAAAGGAAAGTAATAAGTAAAAAGGTGCAAATACGGAAATAGAGAAGAAAATGAAAGGAAAGATAAAAATGGCTTCTGCTCTTAACAGTAGTTACAAGGACATTTGAATTTATCCTCTCTCTCTCTTTGTAAGGCTACAAAATAATCTCATTCTTTCTATAATCTATGCTTTCTAATCATCAACCTCATAAATAAGAAATTGATTCTTTTCTTTTTTCAGAAAAAAAAACCTCATAAATGGTTTCTAGTCACTAATACATTATTTTCTTTCCTCTAATCAAAAAAGTCAAGTTTTCCATCTCTGCTAATTCTGTCATCTTCACCAGCCACTTGTCCTTTTTTTTACTTTTGTGCATATATTAATATCAAAGCAGTTATCAATCTAGATGTTAATGTGTTTTCAAGTGAATTTTAAAAACCATACACAGAACCTACAACATCCAAGATTTTTAATATATGTTAAAGACTTACTGTGGAGTACAGAGAAGAAGTGCTGGAAACTAGTGATAATGAAGATCCATGTACTAAAACAAAAACACCAATGTTGGTATTAGAATGTACATTGATAAAGCAACAGCAGTGATTCCTTGTCAAATTTGATAACAGAACATCTCTTTTTAAATTCAAGCAATTGTCTCCAAGGAGAAAACTATTACAGAGGCTGCCTGTTTAGAAATATATTTTTATTCCACACAATGATTTTTCTATGCTTAAAAAAACACCACTACACAGAGATTTTAGTAATACGTTGCAGTTTTGCCAGTAAGCAACACCATCATTTATTTTGTTCTGATAGGAAAACAGCATCTGAATGTTACCCTTTGGCAAAGCAATTTTTGGTACAGCAAATACAGAAAGTGTCAATTGCCGAATAGACTCTACATTTCATGGAAGATAAAAGTTGTTATTGCCAGGCAGGCAGCTTCCACTGTAAATGAGATGGTTCTGTTTTAAAAGTATTGCTTTGATAACACAGCATATGAAAACAATTTTAACTTGTTTGTGAAGCTTAGAATAAAATGAGACATAGCAACCACACTTAGCAATTTGCATTTTTAAAAAGTAACATCAAAAAGTAAAATCAAAAATTCAGACAAGAACTTTGTTGGATTAAGAATTTGGTCCAGATTGGAATTATTATATTGCAGAACAGGGAGGGCTATAAACCTTCATAATTCACTAGTTTATATTGAATATAAATTCCATATTTATACAATTCCCATGTCTGTTATTTATTTCAGAGAATAAAGAATCCATTGGTGTGAATTTTTTGCAATGCAGGTAGCAAGTGTTAAGGCCCATGATATCTATAATAGGAGCATAGGGTTGCTCCTATTGCAAGGTACCCTGCTTTTTTAACACAAATTGACCCAGAGTATTGCTAATTGTTTGCCTACTATTAGGTCTCTACTAAGCAAAGCCACTTGGGTCATTGAAGTGATGTGATTTTAAATTTTATTATCTCTATGCTATGATAGGCAATTCATTTGCTAAAAACACAGAACAAAATGAGCTTGGATTGCTGCAGGTGCCAGAATCAAGTGCTCATCAAATATGGGCTGCTGCCAAATCTATGCAGAAAAACAGAAGAAATACCTTAATGTAAACAAAAACAATGTTTTTGTATAATCATACAATGTGGGTATAAGGAATCAGCACTCATAATGAAAAAATCAAATGGATGAGTGTCATATGATGATAATAGAGACTGATTTTATTTTATATGATTTTGATTTGATTAAACTTGGTAACAGGTGTGATTATGAATAACTGTCCGAGGAAGCATAGAAAAGGTAATGTATATTTGCTGCAACTTAACAAAGGAAAGTGATGAAATGCTGAAAATATTTACAAAAGATAGAATAAGCCTATTGTTTTTAAGGATGCATTGATTGTAATTATTGATAAACTTGAGTATTGTTATGTTTCCAAAGTTCCATAGTTCTACGGAACTATAAAAATAAGAGAGAATTCCAAGCAAAAAGAAAACAAAAATCAGTTAAAATCTATGATTTACTTCTAATATATCTATAAACTCTAATTATGGCTTGGGTTAAACTCTGAGTAATACAACAATTGTTCATTCTACATTGCTTCACATCCTCTTACCTTCTTCCATACTATCTCTGAATGAACCAGAATGACTAATTGCACGAGGTCTGTCCTCTAAGGATGTAGCACTACCACACAACTGAGAATCATCATAGAGATCGAATGAAGAATCTTGTGCAGGATTGCTGTTTGATCTCATCATACTAGGTCCAGAAAGTTTGAACTGGGATAAATTTGTTGGACTTACTGCAATATCAAACAAAAATTTTAATAAGTTGGAGTAAAATGCTATGTATATTCTAGGGAAAATCTATGGAATGAAGTGATATATTGGCTATGTTTTATAAAAAAATTAAAACCATTTCTAGCATAAATTGAACCTCTTGGTTATTAGAGTATAGATTGTGGCTTTAGGGTCAAATGTGGCTTCACATTTTTAGATGTGCTCCAGAGGTTCTTAACAAAATGTTTTTTTCTCCATAATTGAATGGTAAATTTTTAATGAGGAATTATATTACTTATAAGTAATTAATTACATGTAAAGGAAAAAAAATATTATTTTTCTATGGGCTATTAACAAATAAACCTCTTGGACTAGGCAAAGTTGCATTTCTCTGACCATTTTTTCTTAGTTGTAGCAGTTACTGTTATCTAATACACCAAAATGTATTTATAATCTTAAATAGATGGCATTTGAGAATTCCATGATACAGAGCTGTTTTTAGCCATGATTTGAAATATGTACTTCTTTCTTTTCTTTCCTCCTTCACACACAGGGAATTATCATTTGAAAAATCACTTTCCGAACGTCTTAAGGGGAAGATATTTGATCCTTTTAATGTTTCTTTAGACAAAACAAGATTTATTTTTTTTCACACAGTGTCATATAGTTTTTTAAACCAAGCCACTATCCGCAGCATTTGCTTTGAAATAAATAGCTAAAACATTTCTGAAAGACTCAACTTATGGGGAAATGACACACAGATAGGTGAAAGAGGAAATTTTGCAAAACAAAAAACAAAAACAAAAAAACAGCAGAATCTGTAACTGACATGAGAAAAATTAATCTGGAAAAACATATGAATTGCTTCTGCCAAATTAATGGAGAATATGACTTCACCAAAATAGAATAAAGTAACAATGCAAATTATTCCTTCTTACCTAAATTAGAGAAATATTTGCCAGTTGCAGAGGAAGACATAGCTGTTGGAGAAACCAGGGGAGACTGATGTCCAGTGTCTTGTAGACCTCCAGTAGAATGTGAACGTAGCCACTCTTTCCCTTCCTCTTGACCAGCCTGGCGAGAAGATGGAGTATACCTGAAACAGATGATGGACAGATTAAAGATCACATGCTGTATGCAACTAAAGTGCAACACTTACCCAAAGATTAGAGACTGTTATCAAGCATCACTCTCAGTTCAGATGATTTTAATAGAATGTTTGAGGTAACAGTATGCCCTTTTTCATATCAGCCAAGAAAAAGACAGACAAATCATTAACAGAGAGACAATTGGCATCTAACAGAAAATCATGCAGAGGAAATTGTTCAGAAAAGATTTTAAAATTTTAGAAGACAAAGAAACAGAATCTGAATTCAAGCATAATGACACTTTTAAAAAAATAATTGGTGGTGAAAAGAGAACAGTTTTCAGTTCCTATATAATGATAGCTAGAAGAGAATAAATCAACACTATAAAAAGAAATGATTTGAATTTGTAAGTGACACTTGATGGGACATCTTATGGGGAAAAAAGCATTATTTTGTCCACAGAGTGATCCTGGGATACCACTTTACCACTAAATAGATAGATATAAGAAATGAACAAGAAATACTCTCTTGTGAAGAACTGTGTTTGCTGAAACCAACACTTGGTAAACTTAATTTCCATAGAGTTTGGGGGATTGCTGCCAAGGACAAACATGTATTTCTAACAGTATAACAGCCCACATTTGTGATAAAGGCTTAGAAAGTGTTCTGTAATAAGTACATAAGGTCCTTTTAGATAGTCAGATTGCAATGTAGTGCTTACATTTCATATATAATCAAATGTTTTGCAAAGTTGCAAAATGAAGATTTTTAAAAAACTGGTGCTGTGATTTTCACAAAGCCTGTTTTTAAAACTGACTTTTCATCTGCTGTCTTTTGCCTGCACATAAAACTTGCTCTTGCTGTAATAATCAGACCCATTTCTTCATATATGTGGAAACAGACTGTTGGGCTGCTAGACTTTGATAATACTTGATCCATGGGTGGGGACAAGGTTTGCTAAGGTGGGTATATTTAGACAACCAATAGGAATGATACTGGTTTTCTACTCTGAAATATATTAGAGATTTACTAAACTCAACTGATTATTACTTAATATGCATCTCAAGAAAAAATATTTCATTGCAATCTAATATTTCAGTAACTTGACAGTGCATCACTAATGTTAGTCTTGAGATCAGATTTTAATTGACTGACACCCAAGAACAAGGAACACATCATATGTACAGTATTGGCACTGATAATTTTCACAGGAATTGACTTTTTACTTTTCTTTAACAGAATTGAAGATGATGTCTTCAGATAAAGAGGAAAAAAGATGGTAAAACTCTCTCCCTGGATTCTAGAAGACTTAATATGGTTCTACCAATTGTAGCATAATTATTTTGAATAAGCAAAAGTGTAGGTAAAACTGTAACTTGTTCTTTTTTAGGATTTTTTCCCATCAGTCTCCTTAGAAAACCCACCTCAAATGCAGCTCCAGTTCACTGAAATATACCTTCACTGCAGCAGAAGAATGCTGTATCTTTTCTACTTGAAAATATTATTATTGAAAACTTTTGGAAACTAAGCAGCAGTTCTTGCTCTCTGAAAGTCTGTTTAAAGCCATAAATAAAGTAAGACTGTAGGATTCAATAATAATCAGCATGATTGTGGTGGTAAATGGATATTTTTTTATTTCAATAAGAAATAAATTTGTAAGGAGTCAATCTATAAAGAACAGAAAACTATGAGCAGTGGCAAGTTATATCTTTAAAGTGACATTTGAAGCAAAATCTGGGTTCTTATTTCAGATGAATTTGAGGAATCAGTGAAATTGTTTTGATCAAACAAAATGCATTTTTAGTGTGTTGCATATTAGGAAGATGGACCCTAGATCAAAAATAGGACCTGCCCAGTGAATGTGTAAAGCTGTGGAAAAACACTTGATGGGCTTTTGCAAATGATTGGTGGTCAGAGGACCATACTTTGACAATTACTGACTTAGACTGTCAGAGGATACCACCCAAAGCAAAATTTCAAACTTATCTGGAAGTTCCTGTGAAACCGTTGAGCAACTGGGAGAAAAAAAAACATTTTCAGATATGAAAATATGCTATTACAATTGCTGGATGCAGCCTACCAATTATTCTTATTCTTCTCATTGTCAGAAAAATATTTTAACCTTTTAACAATCTAATTTCTAAACATAAATGGAAGTACTATTAGTTGTTCACTACAGGTTACACAGTAACAAGAATAGAGAGAAGTTACAGAACAACAGAGAAACAGCAGTCATGCTGAATAAAATATTATATACCTTAATCCCTTTTTGGGCAGTGTATTTCTGTCAAGCTGCATGCTGTTAAAACAAAGAAAAACCCTAAAGACATACAATAAACAGAATATTTCAAAATTAAAAGGTCTAAAAAGGTTTGAATTGCAGATATTGTGTTTTATAAAAACTATTTTTAATGGAAAATCTGTAAACGAGATGTGTTCATACTGTTCAAAGATTCTTCTTTTTTCTGTGGCCTTTTCTTACATTTTTACAATGTTGAAATCATATCTAGCTTTAGTTATTATCTAATTCAGAGTCTTATATTCTTTGGGAAGAATGTCTGGATAATACAGATGGCATACTGTTTGATTTCAATTTATTGTGCTAGTGTGATTTCTTTCCATAAGCATAGTTTAATATCTAAGTCAGAATTTTTCAAAAGGCAAGTTCATTTACAATTAATTTATAATTGCCATCTCCAATTCTCATGAAATCTGAACATAGAAAACAGCTGAAAGTTTAGCATACCACCCTACAAATTATATGTTGACAGGAAAGCCTAAACAAATGAACTGGATTCAGATATGATTTTAATGTAAGCTCAGGATGGCTAAGTTGTTCTGAGTCTAGATTTCTTTTCTCTCTAGATCTGCCCAAGACTTTTTTCCTTGACTATTAGTTAAGAAAGGACAATCTGTTTTTAGCACCTGAGATTTGCAATTTTATCTTCTTTCAGGTATTGATGCTCAAACTACAGTCATGTTCTGTATGTCATTATATTTTGTTGGCTACTGATATAATAGTTATGAAGCATATAACACCAATGTAAAACCAAGATAACACTAAGAATTAGGCTGAAGTTTGAAAACTAATCATATGGAAAGGTCTTAATTTTTGTTGTGATGAATTTTGTACCTAATGAACAAATCAACATTTTTTTTGAAAAAAGCTAAACCTCCTATAGAAAGACAAAAAAAAATTATTGAAAACAATATAGATTTTTATTATTTAAAATGCTATAGATTTTTCTTATGTTTTAACATGACATTGTTTCTAACAGCTTACAGCTTTAATTTATAAAAACAATTTAAAAGATAATATATAGTGTAGTGTATTTTTTTCAAAACAAACATAGAAGTTCATTCCTAGTATCTAATGTGGTAGATAAATACGATTTTTAATTTTATATCTGCTTTCTTGGATCTCCTGACATAGCAAATACAAAACCTACCTCTTGTTTTTTTTTACTAAAACAACAACTATCTGTCATCATGTAAACACAAGTAAAGTTTTCATTCTATCTGAACAGCTGAAAATAAATTACAGTCCCCATATCAAAAAACGAATCTGTTGGATTACTGTGGCATCCTTAGTGCCAGACTTGGTTTGACAATGCAAAGACAAATTGACAAAAGAAGTAATAAAATGTGTCCTGAGCTGTGGACCACTTCACAATGTATATGAACAATAACTAAATCAATCATATTTGTGTTTTACTTGAACAGCAAAAAACAAGTGACCACTAAATCTGAATATTTGTCTGTCAACAGACAAACTTCTCATATGGCCTAATGCTACATCTTTTTCTTGATAGCATGAGAGTAAGGGATCAAGGACTGGACTTAACATTTGAAGAGAAACCCCACAAGAAGGGGTAGAGCCAGATAAAAATGTGAGAAGACGTTTGGAAAAAGTAATTGCCTGGATGGATGCAGAAGTCATAATCTGTACATATTTTATTCTATTCTATTCATATACTTGGCTTGTTATTGACCAATATTTGTGCATGAGTGCCAATATCATATTTAAACTTTTCAGTGGAATGGTTGGAAAAAGAGAGGAACTTTGTAAAGATGGAAGATTGTCCCTATGTACTTATTAAGAGAAGATGTAGCATAACCCATATGTCAGATCTTCACACAGAAGAGGATCAGAAGATAGCCAAAACATATTTACTGCAAACCTTGCCCAGAGCCCATCTTGGAAAATAAAAAGCATACCAAGCTAAGGGCTCCAATTACTCAGCAAGGTAGAAGGGCAGGTACCACAGGAAGATATACATGAAATAAGCCATCCAGAATTCCTAAAGCATTAAGATGAAACAAAACCCTGTAGAAAGAGGAAACTTGCAGAGATGCTGGGGCAACTCTCTGCAATAAAACCTAGGAGTTAAATAAAGAACCTATTTAAGATCTTAAAGGAGATGAATCACAACTCTGATCACTAGTCCTGGTTGACTGAAAGAAAATTTTAATTAAATAAATTTGCTACATTGGGAGCATTGTTTACAAAGTCAAAGGGATGGGTACCAAACAGTTAATTGTGTCCATCAAGTTTTGAAGGTGTATCTTATGTTCATGATGCTGAAATAGACATAAAAGGGATACAATTAAAACAAGATCCCTTTTTCATTGATTGCATATAGGAATATCACCAACTATTAAAAAATATTCACTACAACATCCTATTAGTTACTTATTTAACAAAATTATATAGCTGTGCAACTCACAAAACATGGCTTTGGGTTGCAATTTTTTAGTAAAAGGTAAATCAAACAGATTCAGTAAATGATGAATGATTACACCATATTACACCAGATATGTTAGCAATACAAATGAATGTTAAAATATTTACTATAGTATAAATAGTAATAATATATTACACTATGGTAAATATTTTAAATATTCAGTGGTATTCCTGATATGTCTGGTCAGGGAAAAAACTCCTATACAATTAAATAATTGTTTTCTATGAGCATAAGCTATTTAGTTCAATATAATTGTCATCTATTTGCCGTATTCCAGTCTGGAGCAGTAGATAAAATGGTTTTTTGCCTACTATATCTTCAGATATGTCTATGAGAAATATTGCAGCTGTGTTGGTACAGCTTATGTAGCTGTTGCTGTGGATCTGTATTAGTTTATGCTGCTTGCTTCGTTTTCTTTCACATTTGTGAAGACAAATATAGCATACAATCAATAGTCTGGAAAGCAGAGGTATTCCAAGAAGAAACAAAGTATTGGTGTATGCATGTATACATGCACCATAATAATAGTATGCATGTATTCATGCAACATAATACATAGAAATACTGTGAAGTGAAGCACTGAGTACATAATACATAGTTTCATGAGAACTCTCATATTTGAATCTCTTATTTGCCAAAAACACATCAATTTGTTTTGGTCTCACAAAGACTTGACAAAAGTTATTAGCTTCTTAGCACAACCACAAGACATCTAAAAGGTCTCCTTCTGTATTAATTCTTAACTATGTTTATTTTCAAACACCATTTAAATGCTACATTTAGCCTTTCCCCAGCTGGTCTCCTCCAATCAACTAAACACAAAAAGCTAAATCACCCTGCTTGTTAGAACTGACAAGAGGTTTGCAATTCAACATTTCTAAATGTCATGAGTGGGAGAAGGTTGTTGAACTTTATAAAACTGAATTGCTTCTGTATTGATTTTTAAATGTATTATATACTTCTTTTCATAAAAATAAATATTATAATGTTCTACAGTTAAAACTTTCACATACAAGATTAACACTATTCATGGCTACAGTTAAACAATTATGAGCTTTGGGTAGTGTGTAATTATTTTAAAAGGAGACTTTCTACAGAAATCTTCAGAGAGAAGGAAAGAGATTATTTATATAATGCTGCCCCAGACAACAACCATTCTGTAGCTTCTGCCCAAATTCCAAGCACTAATATAAAGTAAGCTATAATTTATGACACACAATTATACTGTTACATATAATATACATTGGCCAGGTTAAACTACTTGAGATTATCCTCTTTTTGCAATTTTGAGAATAATCTAAGCAAATGAAGGAAAGAATCACTATTTTGAAGCCATGGCGACTGTTAATTTTTTTAATAACACCACTATTTTCTAAACGTTTCCCAAGTATCTTAATTTCAAACAGTCATAATTTAATAGATTCTGTAGAAGGAATCTATTGAATGAATTCTTAGGCTTTTTTCAATCCTAGTTTTTCAGAGACCCCACCCCACCCCAACCTCAGTTTGACTCACCTTTCTGAAAGAGTAGATCTGACACTTCCAGTTCTCATGAGCAGGCTCTGAACTTCTTGAGTGCTTGTGGTCAATCCAGAGAGGGAGCCATGATGACTAAGAGGGAGATCAATAGATTCAGAGCTGGTGTGAAGGCTAGTCATTGACTGGTAACTTGGTGTATCTTTACTACCAGCAGAAGAACTACTCAGGTTTGCAGCCCACACAAGACCACCTGATGTAAAAGAATGGGCTGAGGCTGGACTTGAAGCCAAGGAGTGACTTAGGCCTACAACATCTGTATTTAAGTCCGAGGGCTTATTGAAGAGGGGGCTACTGCTTCCACTCTGCCCACCTGCACTGCCCATGCTACCTGTACCTGAAGATGGAGATTCCAGACTGCCTTGCCGAGCTAATGTGGTACTAGGGCTAGGCATGGCAGATGTAGATTTCACGCCTTCTGTATTTGGTGCAGTGGCAGCTTTGCCACTGGCTTTGGCACCAAACAACCTGGAAGCAAACCAACAACCTAAATGTTAGAAACCAAAACTTCACATCATCATATCTGGAATATCAGCACAAGTTACTTTTACATTTCTCACAAGAAAATCCATTTTTATTATGCATTATTAGATGTCATTTAAAAAAATAATAGTTCAAGAGCACTCATTCAAACTGTCTTTTAAGAAATATGGATCGTCTCACAGAGATAATAAAGTCAAGTTTATGTAGATGCCTAAAAAGATTAAATGTTCAGCAAAGCTTAACAAGTATTTCAAAAGCTTAATCAGAAGATATTTTAATAATTAAAGTATTATAACATGATTACAGACAGCTACGAAATCAATATTTTTCTCAAAACTGAAATTAGGTGAAAAATGATAATTTCAGTTTCTTTCCAAATGTATCTATGTATGAAAGTTCAGTTTTATTTATCTCATTAAATTTATTCTCCAAGCCCGCTCCAGCAGTCCCCAGCAGAATAAAATAGATTTCTTCTGTAAACTGCAGAAAATTTCATTACTAAAAGATCTAAAATAGTCTACCCTTCTATAAATTCACCAGGAAGGCTTTTCTAAATTTATAGTTTATTGAATGGCAATGAACACAATATACATAATATTTATTTATACTTTAATAAAAGCCACAATGGTAAACAATTCCTAAGTAAAATGTTGTATTGGTGACTGGCCACAAGAGGGTAGTCCCATCTTTCTTTCAAGATTAATGAGTGTTTTTGATAGAACAATTTGTCCTGATATTTGAGTCAGGCTTTAATATCCAGAGATTGACAATTTGATTTAAAAATTTAATTCTTATTTTTTGGAGAATGTTTGTGATGAAAATAATGCTGTTTCAAAAATGTCCAAATCAAGATAGACTGCATATTTTTGCACAATTTGCACAATTTACAATCATAGAATGATTAAAGATAAGGGACATCATACTTAGATATCTCAGGCATCTGTCTTGGTTTTTACAAAACATTCATCTTCTTAAAAGAAAAGTTAATAGGATGAAAGCAGTATGCTACCCTTCAGTTTCTTTGTGTGCCCCATCTAGATTAATAGGGCTTCTCAGAAAATAAAAATTGTGGTTTAATGCAATTCAGCCTTTTCTTTGGAAGTTGGCATATATGTTGAAAGAAAGGAAGGAAGGAAGGAAGGAAGGAAGGAAGGAAGGAGAAGAAAAGAAAAGAAAAGTTTGGATGACAGCAAGTATCTTCGACATTGGCAACCAGTAAAACAATACAATAACTGTAATTAGACATAAAGTTTCTTATGAAGCATTTTTGTGATTACATCCATGGCAGATTCTAAAAATGTATAACTTGTCTTTCATTGTGTATCTAATAAGATATTTAGAAGGTAATTTATAATACATACATATAAAGAGATATTTATTTTTTAAATGACATTTCATCCACTAGTTTGCTATTTAGTTACGAAATTGCAACTCTACTATATATGGGATCCTTAATACTATGCTATATTTGCCAGTTATCAGCTATCCAGAGGTAAGTAAAATCAGGGTACTACTTATATTTTCTTGAATAGATAACTATTCTGTAGTAGACCTCACCAAATAAATTATGTTGATACAGATTTTCCCTTGTCCCATTATGGCATTCTGAATGGCAATAGTTGTTTATAATTAGATTTAGACACTCTTAATTTTTTCTGTCCATTGAACATTTGATGCGCATTCATAGCTTCCAAAAAGAGAAATTTGATTGCAACTATTTGTAGATGTCAGACCAACTTTCAACCTAATTGGAAGTTCCAAAATTATTTTGTTAGCTAACATTTTATTTTAAATGTTGCAGAGATATAAATTGGGAGACAGTCATAGTTTCATTCCCTTTGTAAGGAAGATGAGTGGTTTCAAAATTTGATGAATAAGTAAAATAAAACTAATTTGACTAAGTTTTCAACATATTTCACAGCTAAGCATTAGCTGCTAGCAAAATATTTATAGCTATTTTCCAGGAATTTCTCATGAGCCCTGCATAGAGAAACAAAGCAACTTGTAATGTATATATTCTGATAAAATGATTTAATTCAATGTACTATTATTTCCGTTCTTCTTCTTGACCTTTCCTTACATTGCTACATACCTTTTCTTACATTCCATACCTTTCCTACATACACTGTCACTGTCAATTCTGAATTTCAGAATTATTTTGGAAGGAAACAGAGTGAACAGATGTAACTAAAACTCAGCATGAAAATGAATTGAATATGTGAATTTCTTTCTAACTACTTTTTGACAAGCCTTATAAACTTATCAACCAAATTCCTTAGAAATACTATAAGGAGTACTTGAAAAAACATGTAATATGGACTAATAGCTATTGACAATTGTGTCCTCCACTCAGGTTCATAGCCACTGCTATACTCTGGTAGAAATAGCAAAATCTGACTATGTTTGAAGAATTACTTGTATCTGTCCTGCTCCATCCCCAGCTGAGAATCCTAAATTCTAATATTGGGGGTGGAAACTGAGAAAGATTATAAAAATCTCAGTGAAGCTTTTACCATCTCCATATGAATTGGACTACTATACCCATCAACCATGACTAATGGCCATGATGGAAGTCCAAATGTTTCTAAATAGTGGGTTACAGTGTGCAAGACATATTTTTTGATAATGGAAAAAGTTTTATTATCAAACAATTGGAAAAATGCAAAGGCAACTATTAAACAATAGTTTAATAGTAAAATTAGTAAAACTGCTAATTATAGCTTTTGTTAGGACTGTTGTTGGTTAATTGCCCAATGGATTGCTCTCTGTATGGCTCTGAAGTACACACACACACACACACACACACATATACATACATGTATGCATATATATATGCATGTATGCATATACATATATACCATAGTCAATTTTTACTGGAGATTTTGCTTTTTTGTGGTATGAGTGTTGCATATTAGATGAAATGGCTTGTTGTAATGAAGAAAGAAATGCAAAGAGAAAGAGAGAGATTGTATCAGTTTACACTATGGAAGCCATTTGGAAATCTGCCTTTCTCTGGAAGAGTAATTCTATTTTTCTGTTGAAGCATGAAGTACCATGATCCTCCAAGGATCCCAAAGGAAGCCAACTTCATAATTTCCCTATGGAATATCATCTCTTCTGAGAGGGGCAGAGAGGACAAGAATCACAATTTTCACATAAAACATATTTACCTTCTAAATGTAGGTGAGGCAATATCTGGGTATTTTGAACCAGGTTGTCTGAGACTTGGTGTTCCACAGGCACTAGCTGAAGTTGGACTTGATTTGGGAGAACCAGACAAGGATACACTCTCAGAATCAGATACTGCTACTTTTTCCTTTTCTTTGTCCGTCTGGTTGATTGTTACTGGACTACATCGTCCTGAGCCAATCTTTGTAGGTTCCCTCAGTTTGTTAGTGGCAGCAGCACTGGCAGACTTGCTGCTGACATTAGAGTCGATGCTGCTGGTGCTAGATCTGTGTCCACCTCGGCCAGGAATCCCACTTGTGCTTGATTTTGAAGGACGTGGTAAACTTCGATACTGCAAAGTGGTCTTTGAACTCATATGTAAGACACCATCTTCTTGATTCTGAGAACCATCTAGACTGGTCTTTCTCCCTGCATTTGATTTTCCGCCAATGGCTGCAGATTTAGGCATTTTCCCCAAAGTTGCAGAACCACTTGTTATGGTTGCTCCACTTGCAGTGATTATTGTTGAAGAGCTGACCCCAGTTTTCTTAAAACCAAAGGAACCTGTGGCTGTTGATCTGCCAATTCCAGAAGGAGGTTTTTTCCCTTCATCTCCACTGCTTTTTCCTGCATCTGAAGGGGAACGCTGAATGGAAGCTCCTTTCAGGGGAGTTTTTACTTTTTCAGAAGCTTTGGCATCATCTGTTTTTCCTAAAAAAGAACACAATTGCTGCAGAAATCCATGTCTAGGAGATTTCAGCTTTTCATAATACTGTATATAAAGAGTGGAGCCCCATATGGCCTTTCAAATACTGCAAAACACCTCTTTTGAAGGGTTTGCAAAGCACCTCACCTTTCTCAAGGTGAAGGGTATAACTAGGCAGTAAACAACATATCAGGGGGAAAGTTGAATGCAGAACTAACTTTCTGTCTGGAGATATTTATAGGGAAATAGCCAGACACAGTGGAGTCTTGACTTCTGAATGGAGAGGGAGATCCAATAATTGATGAGGAAGGATGAAATGAGAGTCCACTCTCATGGAAAACCAATTTACCCATCCCACAACTTCAAAGGAAATATGGCAACATTACACTATCATTATTTCCCACCAATACTTCTGAACTATTGCCCAATGATATACTTCAATTATACAAATTATCTGTGTAATAAATCTAATATTACACTATTACTGGTTTTCTATACCCAGATGCTAAACATGGAGTTTTCCCATCTATTGAGGTCAATTAAGGCAACTTAGGTAACTACTAGTCTTACATGAAACACTCTCAATGCCTTTCCTACCAGATGTCTTGATAGTACTTCCTCCAGCTTTGTGCCTAGATGATGTTGCTCCCACTTGTGCAGTCATGCCTCTTCTCCAAGAGCCAGTCTGAGAAATGGGAAGAATAGCTTTTTGTCCTCCTTTCTCAGCCTCCTCAAGCAAACCAGAAGGATGGCTCCTCCACTTGCCACTGTTGTCAAGATTGGCCTCAAGATCTTCCTCTGGCTTCTTCAGTTCTTCACTGCTCCCCCAAGGTTCTCCATCAGTTACTGAACGTTTTTCAGAATCTGTCTTCAGCTACCCAAAATAAATATCATGAAATGAAATTAATTAAGGATTTTTTATTTCAATCAGTGCAGTGTGAGAGTACACATTATTTGCTTAATATCTTACCCTCAAAATGCTGATCACTCTACTTTGACTGCTATTTGTATAACTGGTGCTATTAACTTAGCATTGAGAGCAACTAATAATACATAAGAAAAATTAATGCTGATTCTTGAGATTTTTTTCTTCATTACACCTAAGAATATGAGGATCATATATTTAATTAGCAGGCAAGTTTCAGATTCAAATTGTGAAGAATTTTCAATTTGCCTACAAAACTGTCAATACTGCAATAAGTAGCTTGACAGGAATTTGATTCTTAACTGACAGGCCATGTGACTGGGACTAAATGTGTTTACTCAGAGATTCGTTGTTATTTCACACTCTCTTTATAATCAAGAGTGTGATATGCTAAGAAAGGACTCTGCTATATCTTTAACTCTCAATCTTGCCTCCATATGCAGCACAGAACTTTGCCTTGGGTTGTTGGCAACACCGTGCTGTGATCAATAGAAAATGTAATCATGTCATTAAACTCCAGCAGTGTTTATGATTCTCCACAGGTCCTTGATCAGGAAATAGGTTGTCTGTTTTTTCACATAGAAAGATCATGCACAGAAGGTGGCTCTTTGTGGCTTTGATTCAATTAATTATTTCATCATGGTTTTATGACATGGCTATTCCAGAAGCTCTAATTATAACTATAACATGTCATAAGAGACTTGGGACTACTATAATTCCAACAAAGAAAACACAAAGAAAACAAAAGAAATAAACAAATGCCTCACCACTCCAACCCTCAAACCACTCTAGTAAAGAATGTATGTGTTGAACAAGTATGTTAAGAAAAAGCGACAAAGCATCCAAGTGGCTGTCTGGAATAAATATCTTATCCTAGCCAGAAAATTAAGAAGGTGAGACCTACATGGGTGGGTATATTCTTTCTTGAAGAAGCAGTACTGTTAGAATAAGAACTGACCGATGATGTAGTATTGAGGTCATCTGTGCTGATGTTATCCAAAGTATCACTGAGGCCACTGCTAACAGAACTGCTATCATCCCAACTGTTGAAGATAAAAACAACAGAGAAAAAAAAAGAAATTGATATCTCATCAATTCTCCCTAAGAACTAAAATTTGTTGATGCCATTTGTTTCATGGGTTGTTTACTCATTAAAATATTGCTAAGTATAAATGTTAGCAATCTATGTACTGTTAAAAATGCTTTGATTGTAAATAATTTATTGAAATATGCAGTTTTTATAAGTTACTGAAATATGCAGTTTCTACCTAGTATAAATGTCCACAGTAGGCTGATTCCTAGTTTGTTTGACTCATATTCCATAAGATATTATGAATTTAACATTAAATCAGCTTTGGATTCTGGTTTAAATTTTATTACAGTATTTGTTTAGATTATTTCAGGGTTTTCCCAGAAAATGGTCTGGGTTAAGGTTAGGTTGGTTATTCTTTAAAGAAATAAGCATAAACCAAATAAGACTCAAAGAATATAAAACTGCGCTACTTCAAGTCTTCTCTCTTTTTTCTTTTTTCTTTTTAAATTTTATTTGGGTTTTCACAAAAACAAAATACAAATAAAACATCTTTTTTGAAAATAGCATGGTCCCAGGTTATCACTTCTTCATATAGACACAAAACTCAATTTCATGCTCATTTTTATATTCTATTCCATATCTTATTACCATTTTATATTTTTTACATAGTTTTTCCCCTCTTTTAATTTTCTCAACTTTGTTTTAATCATCTCAGTTCAAATCATTATATTTATACTTTTGTCTGTCCTGTTACAATTTCACATTATCTTTTCCTTGTAGTTACCAATTAGATTATGACACCTTTATATCCTTTAATTTTATCCATTCAAGCTCTTATTTAAGCTTCAATGTATAGCTTTAAGATTATAGCATTCAATATAATACATAAGTTCCAATCGAATTCTGCTTGGTACATTCTTAAAATAGACGCTATATTTTTAAAAAGAAAAAATTATATATATACGTAAATAAAACACATTCCATTCCAATTCAATTCTATCATTAATATGCATTAAAATCTTAACATCTTTAACATTTCTTTCAATTATATATCCTACTTCCTTGGGAACACTTATAAACTTTCCATAGTTAATTCTTTTTTCCCCATATTTCTCACTTATATTTTTATAAATCATTACTAATAATTAAAAATGTTCCCTTTTAATTCTCTTAATCATTTTAATTCATTTATTTATTAACAAACATCCCACTGCATTACAATAAATATTTTATCCATCATCATATTTTTCTAAAGTTATTTCTATTTGTAATATAACAAAGCTATCTTATGTATCTTTGCAGAATCCCTTTTACAATTAAATTTTCACCCATTATCTCTAAACAAACTTATGGTTACAATCCTTATATCTTTTCCCTGTTTCTCCATTTCTTGTTTCTGTCTTTTACAACTTCTTTTCCTTGCCTTCTTCCCCCTCTTCTCCCTCCCCTTTTTACCCCTTCGTCTCTCTACTTCTAACTCTCTCATCTGTAATCCCCTCTTCTGTTGCTTTCTAATATTATACTTATCTTTCAAATTGTTCTTCTTCTTTTTGGTTGTTTTTTTTCTAGTTTTAAACCTTTCACTCTCTTTCCCCCCTTTTCTTTTTTCCCCCCACTTAAAATTATTTGATCATTAAAGATGGCTTCTTCTTTGTCCCAATCTTCTTGTTCTGCAAGCATTTCTTGTTGCTTCTCATAGTTCCAGATCTCCATTTCTAAGAATTGAAACACGAAGCCAAAAGAACTTCTCCCTTCTTGTGCATCTTTTTTCCATTTTTTAAGTTCCGTTTTCAGTTCTTCTAAGAGTGATACCATTTTAAAAACTTTTAAACAACCACCCAGTTAATTTTAGTCATCTAGATGCAAAAACAAAAAATCACCAAGTAATCCAAATAATCCAAGGCTGTTTCTACTTGCTTCTTTTTTCCACTTTCTCTTCCTGGGGTTCTATTATTTTGTTACCAAGTTTCCATTAAAATGTATCTTTGAGGAATCTTGTTAAAATTTCACTGTAAGTTCCTTTTAATTACAGTTCCATTCCTTAATTCCAGGCAGTCTCCTCCATTTTTCCAGATACTGCCCTTCTATTCTTTTTTTTTCTCCTTTCCAGCTTTTAAAAAGTTTTAAATGTCCAGAAATCTTTATTATCCCCTTGACTTTTATTTTCAGCTTAGATGCCTATTAATGTCAAAGTGGATTTTTTTTTCAGTTTCTTGCTTAAGTCTCTTAGCTGTCAGTATAAGGAAGGGAAGAAAAAAAAACCTAATCCTTTCCCTTCTCTCTCTCCTTCACAGCTTCAAAATCTTCTTTGGGAACAATGTTGTTAAGTTTAAATTCCAGGGTACCTTATTTGTTGTTTTTGCTGCTTGACCCGGTCAACCAAAACTTTCTCTTCTTATCTTCCTCCTGCACATTCTTTTCCAGTCTAGCTCTTCTTTGAAGAATGAAAGCTCTCTCTTTCATTCTTTTCCAGACTAGCTTCTTCATTTCTGACCACTTCTACAACCGCCTTTGGGAAAGGGAGTAATGGCCAACTGGGGAGGAGAGATGTGGCTCTCCTCAACCCTGCAGGCAGTCTCCCCCCTCTTCACCACCTCTATGGGGTGGCTTAGCCCCGAAACCAGCCGGCTCGGGGCACTCCAGCGGCGAGCATGGATCAAAGCCTTGGAGAGACGAGGTTTCAGTCTGTCACCAAAGAAGCTCAAACCGGAAGGCCCACTTCGAGTCTTCTCTAAAAGAACAGTGAAAGTGAAAATAATATCAATAGTAAGATATTATTTTCATTCCACCATAGTTCTCCTTTTTGCATTCCAGGCAGTTTTCATGATATAAATTAATATAAATTAACACAGTGCTATTCAGTATCTTGCCATGTGGGTTTCAAGCCCATATTTCATCTTTTTTCTATGGTCTTTTGTTATTTCCCTAAAACTGAAAGGAATAGTTTTCAGTAATCCATAATCAAGATAGACTTTTTCCTAACCAGAATTATTGTTGTTCATTGTCTATGGTGGTTTGTTTTGATGGAAATTATAACCCAGTGCATCTGGAAAACATCAAACAGGAGAAGGCAAATGATCCATTGGAAATGTTTTCTCAAAGATTTAATATAATCTAGAATTTTTCAAGAAAAACTACATGGCCATTGTACTTTTGCCTTTGGAATTCTTAATTGATGCTACAATACACACCTCAAGGAGATATTTTTGAAGGTGAAGGTGAACTGGATCAGAATAAAGAGCAAGAATCTGATAAACATTGATCGAAATATAGAAATAAATCAAAAGCTAATAAATTAAGAAAAGGTGATGAAGTGAATGAAGCACAGTACCTTAATCTCATCCATAAGAAAAGAAATTGTTGGCAGACATCCAAAGGTGTTTTTCCAAAAGGCAACTGGACTTTCTTGAAAAGCACCTTTGGGACCAACCATGACCTGGTTGATTGAGAAACTCCATAGACATGTTGGCAGATATATATTTTCAGATTATCAACCTGTATTGGACATAAGTGAATTCACTTTAAAAATCAGGTTTACTCTTGAATGCCCAGATGTATGAAGCCCAGATGAATGTCAGAAGTACTTTTACACAGTTTAGACATAGGCCTTGGATAAGGTAGTATCCAAGTGAAGAAGTCTTATGTTTGAATTGGACTATTACACTAGATCTATTGATTTGACCAGGCTTCCTATATCACACGAGTGTCACTGTATCAGCTAGATTAGGTGATGCGTAAACCACCAGGAGTTGACTGAAGTTGGCAGTATATGAAAAAATAAATGATATTCTGGTGACAATTAACAACACAAGAAAGAATAAACTTATTTTTTAGCTCTTCACCATCATTTTTTTTAAAAGAGTGATGCATGGAACAGAACCACATCCACCCTGCCCCTGCAGGATAGAAAGGTATCAGAATAATGTTTAACTACACTTTGGAAAATTGTCAGCATGATCTTGAGTGAAAGGGGAGAGGCAATCCTAGCCTAAAAAATTGACAGCCACTGTTAATTGCTCCCAGCATCATTCTCTCCTATCTTTCATGGAGGACCTCTTTGAGGAATCTTACTCAGAGTTAAATGGTCTGCTATGCATGTGATATGCATATGAAAAATACTTCCAGTACTGCTATGGATTTGTAATGGATTTCTATCTACTTTTACTGAACTGTATTAGTTTCCTAACTATTGTTAGCTGTCCTACAAATAAATAGCAACAGTGTTTTGGATATTGACTTTTGGTTGTCCCCTCTCCCTTCATTACAAACCATCTACACTAGGTTCCAGACAATTGATTAGAACAGTTAATTGTCTATTATACAGTTTTGAGAGGAAGTAAAAGTTGAATGCATACAAATCAGGCTTAGTATAGGTTGGGTCCCTTTTTAAAACTATTTTTAATAGTGCACATTAGGCATGCTTGTGGATAGTACCCAGCTGTCATTTGATAAATGGAGTTGAACTGGTGATCTTTTCAGATGATTTGTATAATCACAATTCAACATATCAACAAACACTATACTATGCAAATGTGACTTGTACTTAATTGTACAATATAACTGTTTGCTGTGAACCAATTTTTCTTAACATGGCTAAGTTTGTTTTACTATTTGTAAAAAATGTCACATCAATTGCACCAGTTTTATCATTATTGTCTTTTACTGTGGTTTTTACTTGTCATACATTTTTCTTTTGTTTTTGAGCTGGCATATAACTATAGTAAAGTATTTGTCTGTCCATTTTGATGTATAAGAAAAAACAAACAGCTATTGCTCTTCTACCCAGCTGTTCCATGAAGAGTGAACTCTCCACAGTGTATTAAAAGAAACCGCATGCCACTAAAGAAAGTCATTAGAAATACTCTGACAGAGCAAAACACAATTATGTTAGGAATGTTGAACAGCTGTAGTTTTAAGGAAATCAACTTCATGACTCTTTAAACTTTCATATTTAGAATCTTATTTATTTCTAGTTACTTTGCACCTGATAACCCACTTGTCAAATGACAA